GGGGGGGGCGGGGGAGTTCAACTCCAGAGAAACTCCCAGCATGTCTTGCTTTAGCTTGTGTGATGGCAGCAGTGAGTGAAGGCACACTCTGCTGGTCAGTTCAGAGGCTCTGCAGGGCTGGACGGGCACCGTGGGCATGGCGGCTTCCTCAGTGGGCGCTCGGATCGGCACGGGCCAGGCTACTTGGATGAGGCGCTCCGTAGAGACTCACAGAAGCTATGTGGTTATTCTGCATGACCTGCAACCACAGCAACAACATGTAGATGAGATCCAATAGTTAATTAAGTGCTTAGTTATGTAGGATCTATGGGTGATTAATATATCAGTACCATACTGGTTATCTGCAAATAATAGGGACTTTTTTTTTTTTTTTTTTTAAATCACTGTCACACAGTTTGGGATATTTAAAGTCGGGATAAAATGAAATTTGTGATAGTATTTTCTCACCTATTGTGACATAAAACCAAGTGAAATGGCTTCTTAAACAAGAAAGGGCGAAAATATGTTGTTGCGAAGTTATTTTGATTAAAGATTAACAACACATGATGGCACATGATTTGAAAAAATATGTGCATGGATAAATCCATTTATATTAAATACTGCAATATTCCATTAAAAAAAGAAAGTTCATGATGACTTTAATAGTGCATGCCTATTTCCCCTGTTTTTACATTTAAAATACCTTTGCAGTTATCTAATGCTCTCTTATAAATAATATTATCTTTAACAAATATGAATATAAATTTTTTCATATTGTACATTCTAATGTTGTGTGATGACTAAATTCACTTACAGCAATGAAAATGACTAATTTTCAATGTTTTTTTGTTTTTTTTTAAATGTATTAAAATAAAATGGTTCTAACAGTGGCCATTTATTGGTTACTGGCCATAACATGAAAATAATGATCTGCTAAACTGTATCAGCCAGTACATCCCTAGTAAGAGCCAATGATATTTCCACTCAGCTGTGAACACAGCACAGCTGCAACAGCTGTGTGAATACCAAATCTGCCATTTATAGATATTTATTTATTTTTAAAATTAATATATTTATTTTTAAACAGGCTGACTAAGTAAAACAAACCGTACACACAGTTGATCTAGCCACATACCTCAAATATCATCCGCTGTAGTCCAAAGCAAAATGTGGAGCCAAAAGGGTTGGTATTGTTTGCAGATGATGACCTGCAGCAGAGCACAATTAATCAATTAATCAGAGATTATGAACAGGTTTTCATATGCAGAGGTGTCTGTATGCTGTAGTTTGAACTAAACCATGTGAAAAACTACAGACTTTTTTTTTTTAAATTCAGGCAGTGTTGATATTTTTAATCAAAACTATTAAAAATATTTCATGAATTGAAATAAAGCTGAAATATCAACTATAAAACTATAACTAGAAATATTAAATAAAAACTAAAATTAATAAAAATGACAAAAGCACATACAACTAACTAAAACATAAATACAAAAATGTAAATATACAAAGAAAAGCTCATTTAAAATATTAATAAATACTATACCTCTACATAAATAATACTAAAATAACATGTGGTCAAATCTACCCCTATGGCTCTCACCGGTGTAGCACAACTGGTTTTTCCATGGGGTGTCCTAGCAGCTCCTGAATCTGATCCCACTGAGTGCAAAAGTTGAAAACATAATTTGTACTCACTTAAAAACTTTTATGAATTATTTATCACATACAGTAGTGAATAACATAGCATCTAATGCATGTGTATATAACGTATGTGTTGACTATACAATGAAGTCCATGAACTCACTTTGCTGTAGGTGGTCAAAATGCAGTCCTCACTCTGAGCATCTGCCCCATCTGAAACACAATTTAAAGAATAAGAAAAACACCAAACAATACAGAATAACAATCTAGTCCAGAGAATGTAATATAGACCTTTTTTAATGATGAGAGGAATCTTGAAATCACACCGATGATATCTGAGATGGGAATAAAGGGCAGTTACATTCTCCTTGGAATATGATACTCAAACCACACATTGCTAAACACTGCAAGCATTATGAAATGAAAATCAATATTCAATCAATATGCCCAGACTGCAAAACCTCCAGAATGATCTTCCAAATAGACATAGACATTCAACCAAATATTTACAATGCTGCAATACATAATACAATAAAAGCAGAAATGAGACTCACATGTTGAAGTTGTAATGGCCAGGGTAGTTGGTGTGAAGGACAAATTTTTTGACCAAGTGGGTTGTAGAGTCAAACAGTATATCCTGAAAGATATAGAGAGAATAATTGCTCAAAAGTTTAAGGGTTTATGTAAACTGAACAAACAAAATCTACACTAACAGCATGTTATGGAGTAATTAGAAGTAATGTAACTAATGGAGTAAGTTAAAAATGATACTCACCACTCCCAGAATATAATAGTTAAAGAAGTAGTCATTACACTTGGACGGGACTTGCTTGTGAGGGGAGGGTGAATGGATCTTCATCTGAGACGTACAAAAAAAGAAAAGATATTTCAAGACAAACAGAATAAATGGGAGGCAATGTGTTTATTTTTGAGAATGTGGCTTTGCTCATCTTGAGAATAATGTGCCGTGTTTTGTATAAATAGGTTTGGTCATCACCTTATCCTCTGACTTGTAGAAGACCTTATGTGGAGAGCCAAGAGCACTCAAAACATCCTGACAAGAATCTCCAAAGTAGATGTTTCTCTCAACGGCTCGCACTTTCGTATCAGTCAACACTCCCGGGCCACATCCTGAGAAAGTAAAAACACAAACAATGTGAAAAAAAGCAGAGTTGCAAACAGCATATTTGTTTGCTAATTCATTTTCTATTATTACTGGATCACTAGATGTCACTTATAATCTGGATTACAGCACTAAGATTTCACTGTGGACATCAAGGCAGCAGTAAAATTGGTTTAAAAAATATAAACAAACGCACACTGCGTCCAAACCTTTAGATTTTTAATGTTTTTGAAATAAGTCTAATTTTTACCAAGGCTGCATTTATTGAACAAAACTACTGTAAAAACAGTTATATTGGGAAATATTATTACAATTTAAAATGCCTATTTTCTATTTTAATATTTTTTTAAATGCAATTTATTCCTGACAGCAAAGTTGAATTTTCAGCAGCCATTACTGCAGTCTTCAGTGTAGACTTGTGCCCGTACTCGGTAATGCGATATATCACGGTAATGAATATGCGCGATATTGTTATCATGGGCACTTCTAAATACCGTGAATAATTATATATAACAAATTATTCCGAATTTTTAATGCATTTTAAGAATACTTTTCCCATCAACTGGTCAAAATGCACAACACCGATGTATGCTGCGTGAAAGACGCAGTGTCACATGATTTTTTTCTTACTGACCCCAAACTTTGAACAGTAAATAAATATTCTTAAAAATTTATGTTAATAAAATGCTTGTTTTTAAAGACATTTTGTTTCCTTTTTATGATAAATGAAGTTAATTTTCAAAAGAATATTATTTATTAACCGTAAAATATTGTTGATAAGCCTATGTATTTTGCTATCCTAAAATGCATGATTACATAGTTGCGGTTTATGATTTGCATTTGTTATTGTTTTTCTCTGTTGTCAGCGACCCCTATCATAACAGACCTGCGATCCATTTTTGGGCCCTCCAGCTGGAAAACACTGAACTATATAGTTACACTCACACAATACTGATGATTACCAAGAACATTTCAAAAGAATGTTTAATAGAATCTCTATAAACATCTTTGTTAAGATCAATACATCTATGATTATGCCAGCTTTATGGTTTATGCTATAGCGATAAAATAAACCTATGCTGTTTGTTTATGTTGGCGATGAATAACAATCAAACAATAATCAGCACAAATGTTTATTTATCCCAGAAGTACAAATTACTTATGCTGGTTTGCTAAGCACTGCTTAACTTTTGGAATAACATGTCATGATATGCCTTTAAACACAGAAGCTTGCCAGAAAACAGGGAACTGTTGCTCTCATCAACATGCTTAAAATGAATTTAGTCATATGCATGTTTATTGAAAACTTGCATAATGATGTCTGACATTAGTTTTATGGATAATACCTGCGGTGAGAAGGCGAAGTTTGAGACCCAGCGGTCCTGCCCCATCTCTCAACACCTCCACACTCTCGGCATACACATTACCAAGGTAACAGGCCAGAGGCATCACCGGAGCCCTGTGAAGAAATATATAATTTACAATGTTTGCTGCTTAATGGGAATGCAACCCACAGCGTTCTTACCAAGTGCTTAAACTGAACAATCAAAATTAGAGGCCCAAGGTCTCAGACTAAATGCAGATTAATGCGCCCCTGGGCCACATACAAATTTCAAATAGACATAATAAGACAATGACTTTGAACTTTAGGGTAGGTAAGTAAACACATCCATGCTCAATAGTATGCAGCTGTAATCATTCATTAGTAGTGATATGGCATTTTACTTACACCTAAACTCCACAAATATCCAAACACATGCACGGCTCTTACTTGGTTTCTTGAAGGTTGTTTCCAGAGTAAATGTACATCCGTTTGACAGTGGCCCCATGGGGAATCTGCAGGGAGGCCAAGCCATGGGCAAAGTTAGGCTGTCAAGGCAAAACAGCTAGGAGTAGAACACGGTGTCTGTGCAGGTGTCTCTTTTGGTGAAAAGATGCTCACATCATCACAGTAATGTATTTTAGATCAATTCATACATGGGTCAGGGTTATTATCATTATCTAAAACTATTAATCCTTAGAAGGAAATTAAAGTATTAAAAATTAACATTTTTGTTAATTGAAACAAAGCTAAAATAAAATACAAATATTAGATTAAAACTTAAACTAAATGAAAATTAGACACATTGAAGTTTAAGCACTTAAAATGAACTAAAACTAAAACTGAAATTAAATAATTTAAATCTAAATAGTAATTTTAAAAAAAACTAAAAAATGTAAAACTGAACATAACAATATCACTAGAATTGAACTAAAACAAAAAATTGAAAAACTAAATTAAAATGTAAACTGAAAATACAAAAATAAAAGCTAATTAAACATTAATAAATTATAAAAAAAATAAACTATAATAGTATAGAAATAACCCTAGTATAAAACTGATATAATGCCATTCGTTTACATGCAATAATCTGTACTTATCTGCATGTATCTTAATTTACTTCATTAATAATAAAGTACTTCATATTATTATTAATATTGTCAATATTTAACTTTATAAGTAATACATACATAAATTTTATTTATTTATTTATGATTTAACGCCATGTCAGCAGCAGTGGCTATATTCATGGCAAGAGGAAACATTTCAATTTCACAATTCAGTCATATATATCATTTCAAAACAATTATATAACAGTTTTGTTTGAAAATTATATATATATATAAATAAATAATTATGTACAAATATACAAAAACATACATATAATAAAAATAATAACAAGAACAAAAGTAATAAGAACAATTATATAGTCTTTCAGCTTAATGCATGACAAAAAAAATTTTAATTATTTTAAAAAATGTCTATTAATATATTTTCTGAATAAAAACGTTGCCTAGTATTATTTAAAATTGGACATTTTTAATTTATTTATTATTATTATTATTATTATTTACTTTTAATTTACTTCATTACTAATGAGTACGGTAGTACTTTATTTTTTGCAATCATTCTACATACAGTGCGTGCATAATTATTATGCAAGTTGATATTCTGATCATATTTTTTTTTTCCAAGCACATTTTACCAATTCCAAACCACATCAATCTTAATAAGTACTATTAATTTTGTATTTATTAATTTATAAGTGATATATAATTGTCCATGAAGGCTGGAAGTGAAAAACTCCTTATGTTCAGGTGTGCAGAATTAGGAAAGAAAGGTTTTCTTTTACAGATAAAATGAGCCAAAAAAAAGAGATTTAATTCAGACTGAAAAGTCAAAAATTATTAAATGCCCATTAGAAATATTCAAAACTAATGATACAGAAATTTCAAAGTTAAGACATGACCATTGGACAGCAAAATGGTCATTGGGTCAGCATGGTCAAAAAAAAAAAACCGGTGGAGAAGAAAAGGCACAATTAACTGCAAAAAAATTAAGAATTAGGGTGAAGAAATAGGTGTGAAACCATCAGGAACCATTTAGTCTCCAGCGCCACCATTTTCCAAAACTGCAACCTACCTTTAGTCTCCAGAAGTGCAAGGTGTCCGGTTCTCAGAGACTTAGGTTAGGTAAAGAATCCTAAAAAACGACCCTCATTTAATAAGAATAACATGTTGAAGGTTTGGAATTGGTAAAATATGCTTGGAAAAAAAATATGCTCAGAATATCAACTTGCATCATAATTATGCACGCACTGTACAGTACTTAGCTTTATATGTCTTTAATTATAAAGCAATCACATGTAACAATAGAATAAGCCACATTTTTTAGGCAGTGGGCAGTGAAAGGAAGAGTGCACACTAACAAAAAAGTTGAAAATACCATGGAAATACCATATTTATACATCATGCTAAATGCAATACAATGGTTTTACCTGTATTCTTTGAATCTCCATCTAAATACCATGAACAACGAACCCAGTCTCACCTCATATTTAGGAGCTTCACTCCACGAGTCCAGCTGGAAAGAGAAGGAAAGCCCTCGGAAGTTCAGGTGGAAGAGCTGCTCGGCAGCATTGTAGACTGGACAGAGAGAACATGAAGCCCACAATAAATACACAGACACAGTAAAAAGGAGTCTGGACAAATAACTGACACAGACAATAAATCTCACCTCCTGGATGAGTAGCGCCAAAAGACTGATCAATCTGCTCAATAGTAGGTGCTATTGCCTGAGAGTTAAAATGTACTCCACTGTAATTAACAGAGGAATGCGTCATTTTACATTTCTGTAGCTGACAAAGAAGTTATTAGTAGAAGTTAGTATATCTTAATTCTATAATATCTATATTCTATAATATCTTAATCTTAAAAAAGCTTAATTCTGGGTGAAACACAAATGTAATCCACAACTACTGTGGCTAAACAAGATGACTTACCAGTATTTCAGTTTCACTTTGCTCAAATCGTACACTTCAATTACCTGCAAAAACAACACTGACTCAATGGAGATATATCGGCAACGTAGTGTAAGAAATAAACATATTTTAGCCCAAAATCTCTATCACACACACACACACACACACGTCACCTCTCACCTTCAGTCTCTGATTGCAGGCGTCAAACAGCAGTTTAATTCCATCCTGAGTCAAGTTGAGAATGAGGTCGTGGCTGAGTGGCATCTGTTTGAGGGAGAGAAACAGGCCAGATAAGGATACAAATAATCCATATACTTTAGTGCCTTAGATAAAAACCTCACAGTCACAACATAGACATTCATAGACATAATAATAGCAGATCCGTACTTGTTCGCTGTAGAGCACCTGGACATTTTTGATGATTCGGCAGTGTTTCTGTAATATTGAAATGGCCTGGGCCAATGGCATCCCTGGAAACATATCCAGGCAAACAGTTCAGTTCACATTAACATGATGATGAAAGAAGTGGCATCAACAGCTGTACACAGTGTGTAGTAAAAACATGATAATTACAGGGCATAAAACACATAATCATAGGGTAAATAACTTGTCAACGTTTATAATAATTTATTATTACACGGCACAGTCCAAAAGTAATATTTTTTTTGATCAAAAGTAACTTTTTTTAAGTTTAATGGTCCAGTCACAACAAGAACAATAACTAACCATAAAGCCTGTCTTAAAAAACAACAACAAAACAAACAGCAACAAAAAAACAATAGCGGAGCATTTCAGTTTATGAGCGAAAAAAACACTGACAATCAAACAAAATAATTAATATTTTAAAGCGCGCGATGTTGCAATTTGTTAATAGCATACCTGAACAAACATAACGTCATCGTTCGTTGATGTAGACGCAAATATCGTTAGTCGCGTTGCAGTTCTTGAAACGAACGGGCCTCAGTAGTATATACATGTTTTTTTTTTTTAACAGACTGTTTTCTTGGCGGAGGGTTTAAAATAAATAACAATTATTTATATCATTAAAACAATACATATCTAACCAGATAATAAAGTCATATTTTTTATTTATTTCTCATGTATTTATTTATTTAGTATGTAGAAAGGAAACAAACTGGATTAATAACGGTATCAAAAAAAAAACACAAAAAAAAACATTCAATGTGATGCAAAATTGCGATAATGCTGATTCCATTCATCATGAGTTAAATATATTTAAATTTAATTTGAAATATATTTAATATATTATGTTTTCTTTGAATATTCCTGTATCAGCCCTAGTGAAACAAAATAGAGGGACGAAAAAAAAATCAGTGAAACTGGGACTTTTTCAGGTCAAGTGAACCTCAGATGTGAACGTGTCACAGAGAATGTGATGCATTATGAAACCCTGATGGCAACTGACTATAATCTCAAATAAATCAGCTCGTTTTCAAGTAGTCTAGCATTAGATAATTCAACATGCAATGTTTACTTCAGCTTTTGAACTGATCTCACACTCACCTAATGCGAATTCCCATTGTTCATTTCCCAAAGATCGCTCAGGAACGACCTCCAGATCCAGCATTGGCGGGGAGAAACTGGGAATATCAACGAGGATCTCTGACTGTGCCAGATCTGAGTCTTCCCTCTCGAAATATCTTGAATAATCCACCGTTAAATCACCAAATCAGTCCAAATATAACGAAGTAGTATGTTTAAAAAGCTCCCACACACTTTAAACACAGTTTGAGTGACACACGACACCCCTGACGTCAGATATGTCAAAACACAAGTGATGCAATCCAGCTATCAACGCACTGCACTGTCACCATGCTTATAAATAACACTATAAAACGAATCACAGATACACACTCGCAAACACACTTATAAAAAGGTCAATATGACTAAGCTTAAATAAATTAAACAAGTAAACTGTATGTCAGTCACAGCGAGCCCATGTCAAGAATGAATAATTGGTTACAGGTTGCTGCTCTTATATCAGCTTCCATAAGCATGAATTAATTCAAGACGTTATTTATCTTATAACCAATATATAGGCGAACAAATTATATAACTGCTGTCTGTTGCAAAAAAAGAAAAACAACAACAACAAACACTTTGATCTGACCTTTGACTTACTCCTGAATCACATAAAACACATAATCTACTAATTATTACATCGAACGAAGAAAATTTCGTGTCCAACCAGATAAATTACATGCATTTAGGCTATTTATGGCACATCCGACTATCAGTGACTCGCACGAGCCTCGCCTGACGTTTTCTTTCTTTCCGATGATTCAACAGCAAGCAAACAGATCACCACTTATGACCATCATCTGTTCCTAATAACGCGGATTTCTCCGGGTGCCGCCGTTTCGGTTGTTGGAGATCGCGCACTGTTACATGCAGCTTTATTTTCCGGTGTCTCTGACGTTTAAGATTTGCTTAAGATGATAAAGAAAGAGCACCTCCGTGCCAAAAGCAACTTCCATCCCAAACACCATGATCAGCTGATAATTCAACTTCCTATGCGAACAAGATAGCACTTCCTGGCGGCAATTTTCAAAATAAAAGTCAAAGAGGGGGCACAGTCCGTAAACAGAACACAAAAAGCCATAGCCAAAAATAACACAAAATAATAAATAAATCAGTAAAAATAAAATAAAGAAAGTTCGACTCGATAGTTCGATCCTGTTGACGTTTCTATGTTGATGGATCACTGACCAGATTTTATGTGACATATTATTAGTTTGGTGCTTAAAGCAAAATATTTATGTCGGAAATACTATATACTGTTTATGGTATTACATTTTTGAACATCATTTAATTTTTGGTCTGCTCACGGGATTCGTCCAACAGTGTCGTCCAAGAGTGCAGGTAAACTTTACTTTTTAGCTCATCTCACATAGCAGGCTAAGAAATACACAAAAGACAATATCAGTTTGCTTTAAATAAATAAAATAATACATTTAATAGACCTCAGTCAGAGTACCGCCATATTTAAGTTTTGACAAGCACCAAAACGAGGCTTTTAGGTGTCAAGTGTGGAGTGTTTTGGACTGTGCTGTTGTTGAACTTATCGATTGTTCAGCTGACAAAACATATTACAAAAGACTTTCAGTAAACAAAAACTCCATAAAACAGTGCATACCGTTGAGTATACTGTAAAGTCTATCCCTCACGGCCTTATTTTCGTCAGCATAAAATTCAGTATGGCGTCGATCCTGATTAAGGTCTATTAGGCCTACTGTTTTTGTCACAGAGAAAGATAAGGAGTAACTGTTATGGGCAGGGACTCTTTACTTTTTCTTGTTCATTCCAGCCTAAGGCTAGATCTGACAGCTAAATCAAAAAATTGAGCTTGTGGTCACATACAGGAAAAGCCACACCAAATGAACAGTAATTTGAAAAGGCTATAGATCGAGAATACTGATAAAAAGCCACCAGATGGCGTCATTTATTGAAAGCCTGGAGTGACTGGCCAGTGCTTTCATAACAGTGCAGGTGATGATAATACAGAGAGACAATGTGGTGAATGCTGAGATTAAGGAAACTGTCTGTGTATTATTATTTATACTCAAAAACATGACATAAAATGTTCAAATGATATGTTCCTCTGGTGTCTGACTATATTGTTCAAATTTAATTTACATTTGTCTGTGTTTTCTGTGAGTAGGCCTACTTTGTTCACTTTTGTTCATCACATGCTCATCTAGTACAAATGTACATACACACAAGGATTCATACAAACACAAAAAGAGCCAAAAATATTTGTTGGGCAGATGCATAAACAGATGAATAGAATAGAATAGAATAGAACAACACCAATGTTCAAAAGCTGAAGAGTCAGTGGTCTAAGAATTGCATAATATAATGTTTGGATGAAAATATATATGTGTATACAGTACATTTAAGATAAGTTTATAGCTTGAACCTCCTTGTCTTGATCATATGCCAGTATATGTGCGGTACAGTGTGTGCATGTTCTTTGAGAGTTTGTATATGTAACAAACTATGTTTGTTTATTATGTGAAACATGCTTTTGTGTGTCTGAGCAAACCCCATTTAACCCCGCATTGTCCCATTGGGCCTTTTTCCATAATTAAGTAGCTTTGTAAGTAGTTTTGGATAAAAAGGCCTGGTAAACAAAAACTGTCCAAATAAAATGAAAGATACATTTTCCGGAAAACCCTTTAAAAGAGTATGCAATATATTCACATTTGACACAAATTGATTGAAAAGACAGAACGAGACACTGTGAATGATTTGCAAAGCTCTGTGAATAATTTGACTTTCTCTGCACCAATAGCCCAGATCAAAACTCCAATTACATTGTTTGTGGAAAAATTGTTGGCCCTGATTTTATTTATTGTGTTTAGTAACAAACCTTGCCAGTCTGTTTCACAGGGTTTTTTGTTGTTTGTTTTCATCCTTCAGATGGGAACATGATGAATAAAACAAAGAGTAAGGAATTTTAACACATGTTCTTAACGGTTAAAAATAACAGAAAAACCTGTGTCTACTTATACAAACAATCTAAAACCACATTTCTGTCCTTGTTTTGAGCTCTGAAGACAGATTCACTGATGAAAAATTCATGTTGAATGAAGACAACTCAAATAAAATGTTAATCGTTTTAAGAGCTATCAATAATGAAGTAATATGAAAAACAAAGGCAATTCATTTACTGTTATTATACCGTTTGATCAAACACAAAAAGGCAATGCTTTTGTCAGTTAAAAGCTTAATAAAACAATATTGAAAGTTTAGACACGCTCAAAGAAAATGGCAACACATCTGTGGCATTAAACAATCTCTGTACGTTGAAACCTACATTATCATAGTGGCATGCTGTCGGTCTGGATTTTTAGTCTAAAACTTTATGAATCACCATCTTCAGAGGGATAGTACAAACTCAGGAAAAACTTTCAAGTTTATCCACAGAAACCTCCAAATGCGTAATGTAATCACAGGCCAGCTGTGTGCACTTGTAAAGTTGTTATAATCCCTCTCTGTCCTATAAACAGGAAAATACATAATATAAAGCATCATGCGTGCATCCACAAATAATACAGTTTATCCTAACGTCCTGCCAAGTTTTCCTTTTTTGGATATCACTGCTCTTTCATCTATTGTTAGCAAACTGATGAAAATTTTATGTAAGGAGAAGCTATATACCAATAAAAATGGTTTTGTACTACCAGCTGGTTGCCAGAACTAAATCATAAAAAATTCAGTGCACTGCATATATTACAAGCATTACGTGATGCCATTTTCATGTCATTAAAATCATCACTAAATCTTTGTAGTTAGTTATTGTAAAATGCATTGATAACACAGGTGGTTGGTAGACCACATGATGTGCTAAAGTTAAGAAAAGGTGCACATTTATCCCTAAAGGGTGCATATCAGTACCTTAAAGGTACACATTAGTACCTAAATGGTACATTTTAGTACTTAAAAGGTGCAATTTAGTACCTGTTGAAAGGGTACTGTCCCACAACTCTTGTACCTAGACACACAATGCTAAAATTATAAAGATATAAACAACAACATAAAACACTCCTGTGCATTGAGGAAAAACGTTTTTAATAAGATTTTTAAATTTGATGATAAAAGATGATTTGTGCATGGAATTCTAGCTAACAATTTTTGTCAAGATATTTCTGTGAAAGTGCATATCATCCTGTAAATTATAAAATGAAATTATAAAATATGTCAATTATAAGATCATTTCTATTTTTCACTTCTAACTTGCAACTTTTACTGCAACATTTTAACATTTTATAGTGCGGAATTCCACAAAATACCGCTCCATTGCGTTGCAAACAACCTATCCCCTTACAGATTCATCTGACACAAAAATGCCAAATTAGGCTAAATGGATTTAGTAAGTGAATGTCAACTGCGGTGTCCACAATCTGAGTTACAAAGAAATGAAGTTATTTTCCTTTACATAGCCTGCTTTGTTTTCTTTTCTAGCAACCCAAAGCAACTCCCAGAAAGAGCTCTGTCATGTTTGCTTGTTCTCTCTGTGCGAGCAACTTTCAGCGTTAAGGGTGGACGTGATATTTCAAACATCAGATCAGTGCGTTTATGTATTGGGTGCCCGGAAATTTTTCCAAATAAACACAGCTTGATTCAACTTGGGTGGGCAGACTTATCAACAGACTAATTCTATAAACAAATGAAGGAATAACCGAGCACACCATTGGCTGGTAGGCAGGGGACACGCGGGGAGAGGGAGAGACTCGAGGCTTTCGGCAATGAAAATTTAATTAATGTGGGTGGGCTGAAGGAACACAACGAGTGTTTATCATAGACAATTTATTTTCCAGCGCTAAGTCAACATAAAACAGCAAAACGGACAACAATTATTTAACATTTTAGACTCATGAAGCGGACACACCGGTGGCGATCTCCCCAGACTGAGACTGTCCTCCGAGGTCATGAGTTTATACCACAGCCATGTGCCACAGTCCGGCGTGGCTGCGTCGGCTCTCACTCTCTCGAATTCCTCCTTAATCTATGTTTACGGTGGCGAAGTTGGAGGCATCATTCCCGCTTTGGGATTCGCGTCCAGCCGGCAGGAACCTCCGCAGAAACCTCCCTACAGCTACATCGCGCTCATCGCAATGGCAATTAAAAACTCACCGGACAAGCGCGCAACGTTAAGCGGCATCTATCAGTTCATCATGGACCGCTTCCCCTATTACCATGACAACAAGCAAGGCTGGCAGAACTCGATCCGCCACAACCTTTCGCTGAACGAGTGCTTCATCAAAGTGCCCAGAGAAAAAGGGCGACCGGGGAAGGGCAGCTACTGGACGCTGGACACCAAATGCCTGGACATGTTCGAGAACGGAAACTACCGGAGACGCAAGAGAAAGTGCAGGACTCAGGAGACGGGAGAGACTAAAATGGGACATAAAAGAACCAGAGCGACGACCCTGAAGTCTAAACTTCATCAAAGTGCTCTTTTGGAGAAAGAGGACTCGGATATAAGCAAACGGCAACACGAAAAGCATCCCGAAAGAGATCTAAACATCCAACCACAAAATAACGAGCACGCCTCAAGCCCCACGAAAGACTGGTGTTTGGCACCCTCGACCACAGCGGGCGCTAACCCAAGATGCCCGACGCCTGAACAGACCAGCACAGTGTCTCTAAACAACCTCAATGGCACAAACACTGCGCCCTTAAACGCGCAAGAGACGCCGGTAGCCGTGATGAATGACACTGGAAGCGCGCAAACTGGAGACGCCAAATCCAAAGAGACGAATGCTCAGACGCACCCACGAAAAACAACAGACAAATCAAAGGAGTTTAGCATAGACAGTATTCTGTCAAAAAAGGAGAACCAGTTCCAGCGAAGGTGCGGCGTTGCCGGAGGAGCGCCGGTCGCGTGTTTGGAGTCGCGCGGTTACGCACTCTCGTCCCCGCTGCTGTACCCTCGCGGATTCCCGCTCAGCTCCTACCTGTCTCTCACCTGCCCTGACAAAATGCTGAACTTCAGAGAGAAAACCGATGAGAAATTATTCTTTTGACGACTCTTTTATGGCTTGACGAATCCCAGACTGTAGCAAATAAATGTATGTCTAGAAATTTTCAGTGAATTCAGTAACAGTAACATTCTTATTTTCAGTGTTTTTTAATGATTAATTGCAAACAAAAACAGTTTTTAACACGTATATCAAACATTCAGGCTAAAACTTTTATTATTATGTCTACTACTACTATTATTGTTGTCGTTATGGAATTCAACATGGGTGGCCACTCTAAAGAACAGTATACTGTACAGTATACTAACAGTAGTTAATTCTAATGATGTGTGTACTATGATCAAGAACGCACTCCTGAGCACAGATGTCTTTGTAAAATGATAATGTTTATATGAGCAAGGGTTTTATATGTTCCTCTCAGCACTTATGACAGATACTTGACAAACAGCAATGTGCTGTTGTTCTTGTCCTCTCCTCTACAACTATACACAAAAACTCAAACTTGATTTACTGCTTAAAGATACATTTTTGGAAAGAAGAGAAAATCAATTGGGTTGTACCTTGGGCTTTCAATGTAAGATTTATATTGAGTATAGAGAACTCAATTCTTTAAATAAACAGTGAGTATGAGTAAAACCTTGTTGAAATAAACATCTTCAGTTTCCTACACAAAATAACCTGATATACTATATATATATATATAAATATTGACTCAATCTGAAACTGAAACCCCGAAGAAACCTTTTTTATGAAGGTGAAATACCAGTAGGAACTTACAGTTGTGCTTTCATTAATATGTTTTACTTAACGAAAAACAGTTTTTTGGGGCAAGTATATAAAGTATATATATGTATATATATATATATATATATATATATAATATATACATACAGTATGTGTGTGTGTGTGTGTGTGTGTGTGTATGTGTGAATGTAAGACCATATGTCATTTATATACAGCCAACTCAACAACTACTTGTTGCTATATGCATAATCCTGAACTGTCTACCACATGTATTCCTTGCCACCATATATAGCCATAAGTGTTTTTTGAACTGAAAGGTCTAAGCCTCACTGAGTGCAAATCAGGAATGCTTGTGGAAATAAATAAGCTTCCCCACATTCAAGCAGAGGAACTCACATCCACAAGCATTTCCTGTGTATAGGATTCTTTTGGTCAGAAGTGTAAACAGAGCGTCATCCATCTGAAGGTTTGTAGAGAGAAAGAGACTACATCTCTCAATCTGCTGCCTCCATCTGTTCTCCTCTTCACAGATGGGCTCCTTAGATGGAGCAGTCTGCAGGACACTGCTGGATCGCAGCCCTGAATTTGCCATCCATGATCATTATGAAACACTGCTATCTCTGAGGTGATCTTTAATATTATGAAAAGAATGTTCTTTCATATTCAGCAGAATTTCTTGATGACATCATTGTAACTTATATACTGGATGAATTACATGACTTTTAAGTATGACCTTTAGTATGACCTTTACTGATGCCACTTTATAAGTGAGTGGTGGGGGTTGTTTAATGTTTATTTTGCTATTTTACTTTTTCTTACAATAAGCACTGTCAAATGCATACCAAAATAAATATCTAATTGTTTCTTTATATTGCTAAAGATAATTGTGCCCTCTAGTGTTATAATGTAGTTGCAATACTCGTCTCAATTAACACACATAGATGACATTTTAAGGGAATAGTTGAACAAAAAAAATGAAAATTTTCTTCAAATGTACTCGCCCTCAGGCCATCCGTGATGCAGATGACTTTATTTCATCATCAGAACAGATTTGGAGATATGTATTGGAGATATCTCTTGTTCACCAATGGATCCTCTGCAGTGAATATAGATGACATTTTAAAGGAATAGTTGAACCAAAAATGAAAATTTTCTTCAAATGTACTCGCCCTCAGGCCATCCGTGATGCAGATGACTTTATTTCATCATCAGAACAGATTTGGAGATATGTATTGGAGATATCTCTTGTTCACCAATGGATCCTCTGCAGTGAATGGGTGCCGTCAGAATGAGTCCAAACAGCTGATAAAAGCATCACAATAATCCACAAGTAACGTAAGTAATCCACAAGCTGTGTGTTTGTAATTAACAAATCTATCATTAAGGCATATTTTTTCCCAATAAAAAGTTATCTCGTCTGAATCAGGAGAGAAATATGCACAGATCACACACTGTTTACAAGTGAAAACAGTCCAGAAGAGTTCTAAAAAATATGTCTTATGAATTTTGATGTGACCAGACAACAGGGGTAGACTTTTTTCACTGGAGGAAGCAATATTATGAATTATGGAATCATACGAGTTAAAATGCCTTAATATTCTTCAGCTCCACAAGATGTTAAATCATAGACTGGAGTCGTGTGAATTACCTGTGATTATTGTGATGCTTTTATCAGCTGTTTGGCACCCATTCACTGCAGAGAATCCATGTAATGCCGAGTAATTTTTTTTTGCAAACTTTCATTCATTTCATTTCACTTTCAATCAACTTTTCCTTTAAGATACCAGTCTATGTTTTATCAACACATTTTCATTTCCATCTCTGCAAAGATCCAGTTATGTAATACAGATGGATTGCTAAATGTCTAACTGCTGGATATCTGGCTAGACTTTTTTTTAATTTTTTTTAGATCTTTTGGTAACCACAAAAACAGTATCACAGAAGGCAAATGTTGCCTCAACAGCTTGAAGTTGATGGACCACAGAGCTGGATGTGAATTTTAATGACAACATTCTCAGTTTGTGTTCTGTCCTTCTCAAGCATTATATTAAAATAAACATGAGAAGAAATATTATCTTCCTAAGTGTTTAAAGTGTAAAAAAATTCACACCCGAGAGTGGATCGCCGCCTCATTTTCATTTATTTTGACTGGAAATAGAGCACACTTTCTGTGGCCGTAACCACAAGTGTTCTACTGTGAGAGGTGCCAAATGAAAGCATATTGACTATAAAGCAGAATTTGATAAACAGCAGTCGCCTAATTAAAAAAACTAAAACATATCTCTGTCACACAAACATATTGTTTGGCTGACTTGAGGCAATTACTCACTTCTTTTTTGTTTACTGAATATGACACAAACCAACATTGAATCAGATCCACAAACAGTTGTTTCAGACCACAAGCAAGTAAAATGTAAAATGCTTTTGACACACTGCCTTGCAATGATTTCAAAATAATTTAAAGGATCATGAAATCAGTAGCCTACCTTTCAGTTTGATATATTTTCAGTTTGATATATTTAAGGGCAATACTAAAAGTAATAAGAAGATTGTAGGTACATTTTTATGATTTTAAACATTATATCAATTTATTTATTTATTAGAATAATAATAGAATAATTCTATTAAAATAATAATAGTGGTAATAGTAGTTGTTTACTGTAAAATGTCATGGTATGGTAACATATTTAGTGATATATATATATATATATATATATATACATATATATAAAGTGATAAAATAGGAAGAAACTTTTATTTTCATTCATTCATGCATTCATCCACAAGGCTGAGAATACAACTTACTTTTTAATAATACATGTACATGTCAGCATAATTTATATATACAGATAAATTTATATAGACTGCTAATGTTTATAATTTTTTTCCAAACATATTTTATACGTTATGTTATCTGGTGGTTATCACAACAAACCATTTACCCTGAATCCAGTCATGAAGAGGTCAATGAGCCATGGTTCAAAGCTTGGATCCCATCTGAGACAGAACTGACAAGGCCTGATAGATCAGACGGGGGTCAAATCAAGAAAGAAAGAAAAGAAGCCGTACTGCAGAAGCATCATCACCCTTGTTTCATGTGCAATCACGTCTCCAGGCAGCATTGAATCATACCATTTCAAACCGCCGGCATCAAAAGAGTTTTAATCTGTGTGTTTATTATATATTTTCACTCCTAGCATAAACCAAACTCAGTTGTCCAAATACGCTCTCAACACTGAGGGAGGGGTGGGGCTCTGATGAAGATTGATGGTCTCTCCGGGAGGAACATTAGCTGCTAATCAAGTTATGTTTCCTGGCGCTCCGTTTTATACATCGCTATTTGCATGCGAAAAGCACAAGATCCATGTTTGCTATCAGGCCTGCTTATGAAACACACTCAGTGCACAAAGTCAGTGCTGCCCATCGAGATAGCAATGTTAGGAGACACCTTCATGCATTCACTAATCTCTGTTTAATATGAAAAACAGACACTTTCACTACCAACCAAACTTCACAACACTGCACAGTTTAGTCAAGTCAAATATAGCAAATTTAAAAGCAATTCAAGATGACCCAAAATGTTGCAAAATGCAAGAAAATCTGAAAATAAATCAAAATAAAGCAATAGTAACTTATTATTAGCATTAGTTTTTTTATTATTAATAATGATAATAATAATAATAATTAATTAATTAATTATAATTTAAGACATTATAAATAAGAATAAAACCAGTTAAATGAAAGAAAAACAACAAAAAACCTTTAGGCCTAAAAATTATATTGAGTTTAAGGCCTAAACATAATATTTCTCACTCCCATTTTCTGCCAATCACCAACATCCACACCACATGCAAGTAATCTTAACTTGAGGTAAACCAGGCTACCTATGATTCCATATGTACTTTTTTTTTTTTTTACCACAAGTGCTCTTTTTATCATAATGTAAATATTTGAGGCTTATTTTAGGAATCTGAGGTTTATTTGACTTTTATGCCCTCATCCCCAGCAGAGATTCAGCAGTACACTAAATGCAAGCCTGGTGAGACAAACTTGATGCACGAGTGATCCTCATATCAACCAAATTTGCAAATGACACATGAAAAACACAGCTTTCGAGTCAAATGTAAAATTATCTCTTTGATTTGGAATGACGTCATGAAGTATTCGCTGATGATTGTGTGTTTATATCTTTTCAGATGCCTGATTGAGAAGCTGTAATAGGAGGTTAGCACAATAAATATCTCTCTCACCCGCACATATGGTCGCACACAGTAATTGACATGATTACTCATGTGACTCATACCGTGAAAATACAATTTTTGAGGGAATAACAAAGAGCCATTTAGAAATAAACTTTCAAGTGTTGTTCTATGCGCCAAACTAAATATTACACATATAACCATCATCTCAGTGGATTATGCACCAGCTGGCTTGGACATGGTCATTTTTCTCCAGTTTAGCTCACACAAACCAAGGAATTTAAATTGACTAACAGCTGCTGAATGAACACTTTTTATCTCGATATTTTCGCAATAGCCCACCCTTGTCCTTGCGCATTCCCATCTTTAAAGCTAAACTAAATCAGTAACGTATACATTATTGAGGACCAGCAGTCCAACTACAGTCTTTCAGGTGTTTCCTTGTTTAAGCACACCTGCATTTTTCAAATGAGTGGATTTTCTGTTGATTTCAAACAATTCTTTAGCTATTGCTTTGGCACTGATGCGCTTGCTATGCCAACCTATCATTGTTAGGATACTAAATATGTACAACCAGATATACAGCTGTTTTTCACAGCATGCGTTTTTGCTGATTTTATTATGATTTACTACATAGCTCCCTGAAATACTTGATTCTGTCTGATCAATCTCGCAACTATTTCCTAACATTCGCCATCGTCCAGAAAACGCAGTCAGCTCAACCGGCGCTACTTTCACGTCGCTCGTATCACACCGCGGAGTTGCTCTCGTTTCATACGAATTCAACTGTACCATCGCGCATCTCAAAATTCATAATTATTGTAGTGAAAATCATCAGAAGACTTAAGTATTAACATTACTGTATCACTGTTGCAATGTTCGTTTTGTTGCTAGTGCGATTGTTTTGTATGTTGTAATGGACTATTTTTTTTTAGCGGAAGCTTAAAAATAACAGATGGTAAAGGTAAGATTGTAAAACAATTTAAACTCTAATATTTTATATCCACATTTTTATTTATTTGGGGAGTAGATATGAACAAGCGGGATCTGTCAAAATTCTGAAATTCGTGTTATTTAATAACAATTTGAGTGAAAAGCGGGGTTGTTTTGCACAATTTTAAATGTTGCGGAAAGTTGTCACAAAGTTGTAATTTCCACACACACATCTAAACTAGGCTATATCCAGTCTATGGCTATATCACAAGGTGAAGGTACACCCCGATATGAATAATAATAAAAAAGAACTAAACTAAACAACTACACTTGCTATATTACATTTAGCAGAAAACACATCATTTGTGCTGAGAATGAGTTTAAAATGCAAAATAAGCCTATACGGATAGTAAGAGTAATTTTTTAGCACAAACATTAAAAACCATTTGAAAAGTTAAAAATGTATATTGCTGTATACAGTAGGCCTATAATCAGTTTGTAAAAATGGAAATATTAAGGCGAGACACTGCAGGTGAATAGGGTAAAAAAAATTAACTACTAATTATCACCTTACTTACCCAGTTGATGGATTACATTGATAATTGCAAACATTTTTTGTATTACAAGTTTTGTGAAATGTTATGTTTAAATATGCAAATGAGGCATTATTTAATTAAATATGCGCTAATTTGCATACATTTCTAGTACAAAAATCTGAACACTGGATGATGTCAGTTTCAAAATTCTTGTTTATTTTTTTGACATATTAAGAGGCAAATGTTTTTACAGAGGGAATTGTGGGTATCTCTTTTTGTCACTCCATAATTCAGAAAATACTTTGAACAGCCAGAAAACAATATATTTTCACAATTTTTGGGGAAATAAAATGTTGTGTATATAATCAAGCAAATTATATATGAACAAATCCCTCTGTAAAAACCTTCAGAATATAGACAAGAAAGAAAGAAAGTGTAGAAGGATGTGATCAATCACTAACTGTTCAAGATAAGGAGAGTTTGTCCATTGTTTGATGAGGTCTGGGATTAATTAGCAGTAGAAGAGCTCTCATTGTGACACCAGTGCTTGACCTTTCACAGCTCATTACTGTGTGTCCAATCAGTGCAGGCCAGTGTGACTGCTGTTTATTTATACACACAGCCAGCCGTGGCAACCATTTGGCCATTTTCTTCACTGGAGAGCCTTAAACACTCCCACATTGAGCTGAATCTGCACAGACATATTCAGCAACACGTTATCAGGCATAGAGCGCCATCCTATAATCATCTCCTAATGTTTTCTCAACAGTTTTCAACATTGCTAATAATAAGACGCATGTGGCACTGAAGACTGGTGTATAATGGTGCTGAAAATTCAGCTTTGCCATCACAGGAATTAATTCGATTTTACATTTACATTTAGTCATTTAACAGACGCTTTTATCCAAAGCGATTTACAAAT